GCCACAAAGCCACCATGGTGTGGGTACTGCCCTTCACCCTCAGTGCCTGGCTTGGTCTGTTCAAAAATGACCAGCAGATGACAAACTACTACCCATTTTGGACTTTAAATCAAGATTGCCTCTGAATGGCCCCAAGCTGCCCCTGCAATGAATGCCACGGGTCTGAGGCATGAAAAGGGTCTCTTCCCAAACTGTCCCCCCTCTACCACCACCTAGGCCTAAGCCACCCCATGGGCGTCTCCGGAGCCGTCCCTTGTGCCAGGACCTGGCTCACTGCTCACTCCTTGGGGCCGGAGCACCCTTGCACTGCATTGTGCAGGTCTGGCTCTGAGCTGGCCTGACCCCAGGGCCCCAAGCATCTTTGGGACTTATGACAACATGCTGGGGAAAGTTCTAGGCCACAGAGTTCAGAAGGCAGTGGCGCTAAGTAAGCATCAAAGCCTGTATGAGATTTACTGTAAGCAACTCAAGATCTTAGGAAGGAAAATAGATGGCTGGAAATCAAGTGGATAAAAATAAAACCTTCACAAGGCTTTGCAGTCGGCCCCAGTAAACAAAACTCAAAGGCCAGCTTCAGTACGGTTATTTCAGCCTCTGAGGGTAAAGTGGCCAGGCTGTGCCAGGCTGCATCCGCATCTGCGCTTGGTGCCCTCACCCTGGCTCCCCCCAGAGCTGGGAACAACCACTGGACAGAAGGCACTGACTTGGGTGCAAGGCCTGCCCCTGGGCCTCGGGGCCCCTGCTAGAGAGGGAAGGACGGCCATGCCCTCAGTCACACACACAATCACACAATCAAGTCACCTTCACACCATCTCGAACATAACCACCAACACCCACATCATCTCACACCCAGCCCCACAACCTCACGGGAGCCCTCATGCACGCACACGCCACCACAAGTGCACACGTACTCGCTGTACTTGTAGAGCACTGGAGGCTTGTTCCCAGCCCCCCACTCTGTTTCTCCCGGGCTGCACAGCACATGATCTGGGCGACCGCTCTCCTTGGGCTACCAGGTCATGTTTTCAACTGCCCAAAGTAGTAACAGATCACCCTGAGACGGCATCAAAGGGTTTGACGACACTGAATCCGAACCTCAGAGCAGGAAGGCCCTCAGGGATCGTCTGGCCCTACTCCTGTTAAGCTTCTCCAAACAGGGGTCTCCTGGGGCCAGTCTGGGAGACAGGGAGGGGCAGGAAGGGGTCTCCACCTCTCCCCCATTACCACCCCCCCCCCCCACTCTAGGCCTGCTGCACCTGCTTTTTATTGAGCTTTGGGATACAGTTTATTTGGGAAAATGTTAGATTTCAGGTTCGCAACTCAAAGAGTTTCAGAAGCACCAGTTTGCCTCCCTCCTGTTAGAGATAAAGGGCCTAAGGCGCAGGCTGGGTCAGCCACAAGCGTGTAGGCAGCCAAGCAGATTGGGGACTCGGGTGTTCTGAAGCTACATCTTAGCCAATGAGGGGGCTGCTTTCATGTGAATTGTCACCCACTGGGCTGCCCCAGACAAGCCAATCAGCTCAGCCGGACAAATGGAGACTGTGCTGGATGACATCTGCCCCCATATGCCCCAATGTCCATAAAGAAAAGACTTTGCAAGCTGCCAGGCCCTGCGGCAGGCCAGGATGGGGTGGGCTTTCACAGTCCCAGACTGTTGTCACTGTCAGGGGAATCACAGCAAACCTTCAGCCAGGCCTGGCACCCCTCTTGAGATCGGAGATCAGAGGCTCTGGGGAGCCGAGGGAAGCACCGCTGGAGTGCGTGACTGGCATAGAAGAGGCGTGGGCCACTCCAGGAGCTCCCCTTCTAAGGCCAGAGAACAGCTTCTTCAGAGGAGCCCTGCGATGCCAGGAATGCTAACGTGTACTTTTAAATCATTTCAGCGTGAATCTCTCACAGGATCTGGGCACCGTTTCGACAGACTGCTCTCCTCACCATTGGTCCCATCTTTCCACCTCACGCTGCCACCCCTTTCAGGGAGCCCCCCAGACCACAGGGAGAAGTGTCTGGCTCTACTCTATGTCGCCAGCAGCCCTGTGCCCAAAGGCTGCCCCATTCCCCACCCAAAGTCCTCAGTCTCTCAGTCTGTCTAAAAGTGGTTTTGAACTTTGACCAAACAAGACACTTGTGCCGAGTGTCTTCCCAGGCACATCTTTGGGTGGTGCCCTCCCATGGCAGGGATGGGTTTTCCAACCTCCCCTTCTCTTGCCTGCTCTGAGCACCAGCACACAGCACCCGGGAGCCTGCGGGCATGCCTCCCATCACCACTTACGGTGACATCCCTGTGGCCATGTCTCCACCACCAGGCACCAAGCCAGGTCTGAGGGCAAGACACAACAGGATGGGACATTGGACACCTCTGAGCACAGCTGTGACAGGGTCAGACCAGCAGTGGCCATCATCTAAGGCTTGCTACCCACCAGGAGCCGACTCAAGCACTGGACATATAAATCTTTGTTCAATCCTGTAAAGCAGGAACTATCGTCCCCCTTTCAGAGTAAGAAATTCAGGCTCAAAGGAGTAGAGAGATTCAGGCCTGAAACCAAGCAGCAAACCCAAAGAGCCCCATCCAGGGCCCTACTGTCTGGGCTGAGCTGTGGGAGCCAGGGCAAGCCTTGTTTCTTCATCTGAAAGACAGGGAAGCTAATCACTAGTGCCCGCCAACAGGGTTGGGGGGTGGGGATGAAGCTAGTTTCCTGTGTAAAATGTTGCAGCATCGGGTCAGGCACATAGGAAGCTTATGAGATGCCCGTTAACTATCGTTCCTATTGCTAATGAGTGTATCTACTGTGTTGCCTTCTTAGAAGGGAAGGGGAGGCCCAGGAGTAAGACGAGCCCAGCCAGTGTGGTGCCGGGTCCGGTGCTAAAGCAGGTCTCTGCACCGGTCCTCCTGGAAGGCAGGGGACAGACGGCCAACGCTGCCCCTGGGGGTTTTGATACCATCAGCCTCCAGGACCCAGGGAAGGTCCTCAGGAGCCCTGAGTGGGAGGCAGATTATCTGTACATACTTCCACTCCTCTGTCCTGAGGACAAGGGGAAGGAGGTGACTGCAGCCAGATCTTGTGGGTCTGAGTGCCTGTGTCTGTGTATGTGCCTCTCCTTATGTATATCTGTGTGTGTATGTGGCTGCGTGCGTTTATATGTGTGTATGTCTGTCTTCGTGTGCATGTGTCTGTGTGTCTGTGCTTATCTGTGTGTGTATCTGCATATCTGTATGTGTCTGTGTGTGTGTGTATTTGTGTGTCGTGCATGTATGTCTGTGTAGGTCTATACTGCAAACTCTGCATCTGTGTATGTGTGTGCCTGTGTATGTGTGTGTCTGTGTATATATCTGCATATCTGTGTGTGTACCCGTGTATCTACCTGTGTCTGTGTGTATCTCTGTGTGTGTAGCGTAGCGCAGGGGAGGAGCATGGCAGGGCTGAGACCTCAGGCCTACTAGCACGCCAGGCTTGGTTAGACGGGGCAGGGAGGGTGCAGAAGCAGCCCAAGCCCTCCAGTTCCAGACGACATGAACAGTAGCCTGGATATGGGGCTCCTGGGGGGCTCTAAAGGCCCCTGCAGAGGGAGAGCACCACCAGAGCTGCTCCCTACAGGGGCATGCATATGAAACAGCTCCCAGGCTGGCGAGCAGGACTTGCAGCTGCTGCCCAGTGACCACCAGAACAGACACTCGGATCAGAGGCCTAGACCTCCAGAGCCAGGGGACCCCCCTGTACAGGTGGGGAAACTGAGGCCCAGGAGATCACAAAGCCAGATGTCACCATGCCTGGTCCTTCTGAGAGCCTAGCTTCCCCTCAGTGAGCTCAGGGGTCTCACCCACACACCCAGAAAGCCCCACCCATCCTGATCAGCCAGGGATTAGCAAACCCAGGCCTGGGAGAAGGCGGTGAGGCTTATGGTCTCCATGCATGTGAGCCCAGGCCAGGAATGAATCATATCATTATGGCAGGATTAGAAGAAAAATGCCATTAGAAAAATCTGTGCATGCACCACGTTTAATAAGGTCAGTAGCAGCAAGCAGCAGGCAGGCTGGTGGCATGAGGCCACAGAGCCCCTGCATCCTCCTCCCACCCAAACCAGAGCCTGCAGGGAATGGGACAGGCCCTGGCCAGGCCCAGCCCCAGTGAGCAAGTGTCTCCTCCTACTGGGGCCTCCCCAGCCTGGGCACCACATAGCTACTCTTTCTGCCTCCCCACTCCTCTGGGCCCACCTGCTTGGGGTTGTTCCCAAATCATCTCCCACAGCAAGCATCCTCTCGAGGTGAAAATTCATTCCCCAGGTCCCCACACCCTCTGGAGTCTGCCCTCTACTTGGACAAGGAAGGAGTAATCAATTGTACTTTACAAAACTGCTAATGTGCTGTTAATCTGCCACCCTCCCTGGTGACAACATGCCCAGGTGACAAATACGGATAAGAAGCCTAGAAAGCTCATGGAGGATGACAGTGAAGGAATAAGTCCAGCTCTCAGGCAGTCTGGGAGGCCACAATTGACAAACATGCATGGAATTGAAGTCCTCTTGCTTCCAGGGCCCCTGGGCACCCGTGTCTTCAGGGCTCAAGATTCACAAACCTTGCAGCTTTCCAAACTGCCATGGCCAACAGTGAATCCCCCCGTCCTGAGATGGTGGGGACCCCCCGTCATTTCCCGGGCCTCAGCCTCAATTGCCCACCCCTGCACATGTCCCAGGGGTGTCCACACCTATGCTTAAATATGTGCACACCACAGTCCCATTGGGGCCCTAGTGGGACCAGAAGCTCTGTGGGCAGGGATGTCTCTCTGGTCAGCCCCAGCACACGTGGGGAGACTGGTAAGGGTGCTCTGAACACACATGCAACTGTTCTCACCCCATTGCTGATGGTCCCCACTGCTGATGGTCCTTCCTTCATCCTCTCAACCACATTTGCTACACTCCCACTACGCACCAAGCAAAGCACCAACCAGACAGACAAGCCCGGCCCCGGGGCGGGGAGCGAGGTGAGGGAGGAAGACACTCACAGCTCCGTGGACCTGGACAGGATGGCAGACAGGGTGAGCAGGATGCATCCGTAGGGACCTGCTTCAAACTGGGAAAGAGAAGAAAGGAATGAGCACCCACCATTCCCCTCAGTCTGCACTTCCTTCCCCTCACCTCCTTGCGGGGCCACATCCAGGGAGCAGCCTGAACCTGAGACAGCTGCCAGAGGTAACCTCTCCCAGAGGTTACCAGGTGGCTCCACCACAGGGCCCCCGAATGATGGGAAGCACAGCAGCCTGAGTGACAACAGGAGCAGACGCACTGCCCACCGAGGAGCCCCTGTGATGTCCGAGTCCTGGAAGCTTGCCAGATAGCACCCGGGGCAGCCTCCCTTACCATGCAAGTGTCTTACGTGCATCATCACACTTAAAACTGTCACAGGCTTATATGACAGTAGTGTTAATACTGCCCTCTGCCACATGGGGAAATGGGCTCAGGTACTGAGCAACCGGCCCAAGGTCACACAGCTGGAAGCAGCCTGTTGGGATTCCAGCAGTCTCTGTCTAATTCCAAATCCCTTCCGCCAAAGACCTGCACTGTGTTAAGAGCAGCAGCGAGCAGCTTGGGGACAGAGTCAGGGTCAAGAGGGGTGAGTGAGGTGAGACGTGCAAAGACAGATCCCATCGTTTAAATTTTTGGTATTTTGTTCATTGTGGATTTTTTTTTGAAGATTTATTTATTCATGAGAAACCCAGAGAGAGAGAGAGAGAGAGAGAGAGAGAGGCAGAGACACAGGCTGAGGAGTGCAGGGCTCTCCATGCAGGGAGCCCGATGTGGGACTCGGTCCCAGGACTCCAGGATCACGTCCTGGGCTGACGGCAGCGCTAAACCACTGAGCCACCCAGGCATCCCGTGAATTTTTTTGGATTAATTCTGATATTATTACTTTTAAATTTTTACACTTTTGGGGATGACTGAGGACTTTGGTACCTCCTTGCATTCTTCACCCAAGGTAAGCACCTTCTTCATCTCCCCCTAGTCCCAGCCCTGGGTTAGAGCCCAGCTGCTGGGGTTTGAATCCTGGCTGTGCCACTCCTAGCTAGGTGAGTACAGTGACCTTTCCTAATCTCCCTGCCCCCCAGTCTTCTCATCTGTAAAACAAGGAGGATTATATTTTGGACCCACCCTCATCAGGTTGTTGTGAAGAGTCAGTGAGATCATCCTTGTACAGCACATAGAACAGGGCGTGACACCTGTGTGAGCCGTGGGCATACGCCAGCTCTGTGCGGCCCTTCTGTCCAGGGGGCCCAGGAGGCCGTGGCCTCCCAGGATAGGCTAAGTCACTTGGGCTTCCTAGAGAAATGCCAGCCCCCAGCTGCAATTTTGTCTGAAGACCTTACTTATCCCACTTTGGGGATGACACATCCTCATCTGTGAGCTGTGATGGCAGATGCTGCCTTACAAGGGTCAGTGTTCCTTATGTGTGATCAGTTTCTTAGTGGACTTGAAAACAGATCCAAAAGTGCTTGTTTTCCTGAAACAATAAATATAATATAATTGATCATATTTCCATTTTGCCTAGGTTGCCAGGAAGCTCAGAGTCAAATACGGTCCTTAACTGCGGCAATTATTTCAGCTCAGGCTTCTGATAAACTTATCTTTTCTTTCCTTCAAAACATAGACTTTGTTTTCATACAGTAATTTGATTAATCCTTTAAAAAAATTACTGTGTGAACTTTCATGCCAAGAGGCTGCTCTCTGCTAAGGCTATGCTTGTGAACAAGGTGGATATGGATCTGCCTTCATGAAAAGTAATGCTAGGAAGAAAGAACAAGAAACACCTGGAAAAGAGTGGAGCAGGGACTCTGCTCTGACAGGAAGTACCAGGTGCTCTGAAAACACACAGAAAGGGCCTCTAAGCAGACTCGGAGTGCAGGGAAGGAAGGAATGTAAAGGAAGGCTTTCTGGAGGAAGTGGGATCTAAACCGAAAGGATTGGGAGAGAAGGGAATGCTGTTCCAGGGAAGACGAAAAGCAAGTGCAAAGGCCCAGTGGCAAGAGAGGGCAGGTTTGCTAAGGCTGAAGCCCAGAAGAGCCCTGAGGACAGCAATCTTATATTATTAACTTATTCTTATAAATGTGTAAGTAAGAGAACCTTTGTGAGGGGGTATAGAAATGGAATAAATGCGTCAACAACAATCTTAAATCAAGCTCATCCTAACCCTCTGACCTCAGGCCAGGCACTTTGCTCCTGTTGCCCTCAGTTTCCCCATTTGCTGAATGAGGATAACAAATCCCTCCCTTGTGTATTTCCTTGGGTTCATAAGACCAAGGCTATGCAAGTGTTCTGACAACTGAGTCATACTGAAATCCTTGCACAGGGGGCACAGGCCTGGGAGGACCCGTAGCCTGTCGCAGCTCCCCTGCAGACTTCCCTGTCGCCTCGGGGAGTGACAGAGCTGTCTCCGTTTCCCCTTCCGAAATGCCAACTGCCTGCTGCCACGGACTTGCACGCTGTCTTGGGGGAGCAATGACACTTTCTCGGGCTGTTGCCTCTGGGGTGCCTGCGGCTGCAACAAGGCAGGGGACACGGAAGCCCACCGAGGCCCTAGGCCTGTGTAAACGTGGAGGACTACTGGTACTACGTGGGCCAGCGTCTTCCACAGTCCTCGGGCTCCTTCCAGGACAGCTTCCCGGGAGCTGGGGACGTGCCCCTGGGTGTGGACTGTTAGTGCGACTACAGAGGGTGGAGAGAGGACGCTGCCTGGGGCTTCTGACCCCTGCCAAACATGACTGAATGGCACCAATATGCCATTTTGTTTTTTCAAAAAAACATTTATTAAAATTATCTCATCAAATTCAAGCTGCCGAGACATGGGAGGCCACAGGGAAAGGTGCCTGCATTGAAAGGAGAGCTCCCCAGCCCGAAAGTCGGGCTGGAAACTGCCATTATGGTCTGGAAAAATGTCTGGTACTGGTAGGCAAGAAGGGGCCATCCTCCAGCACTGCTGGCCCCGGAGAGACCGAAGCCCACCAAGGAACCCCAATGGGAGGTTGCGGGGGGCCTGGGGACCTCGCCCAGCTCACAGGGGGGCAGCCAGACAGCTCACTCTGAGGGTGAGCAGTCATGAAAACACAGCAAGGAGCCTATTTATTTTGGGCAGAGATGGTTCAGTGTTCGTTTCCAGGCCTGGCACGAGGAACCCCTCCTAGGCCCAGGCCATGAAAAATGAATTTGGTGAGGGTAGTGCTGAGGCAGCTCAACGGCTTCCAGCAAAAATATAATTAAGCTGTGGGGGAAAACATCACCTTCCCGAGTGAGGAGGGCCAAAGACAGACCGCCGGCACCCAGCGAGCAAAGCCGAGTGACGAGGGGGAGTCGCTGTGGGTCCGGAGGAAGGACAGGAGGCCGGCAGCCCCTCCCCTGGCACAGGCCCCGCTCTCTGAACCACTTCCACAGTCAACGTCTGGCTTGGGCTTCACCGAAACCCTGGGGTACTGATGGAGGGAGGAGGGAAGCCTCTTCTCACAGATAAGGATGCAGAAAGCTGGGGTGCGGAGGCGTCAGCCCCAGGGCCATCAGTGGGTGGTGACAGGCCTTTGGAGCCTGTGAGCAATTGCCCCAGAGCCGTCCTTTGCGCCCTAGAAGCCTCCAGGGCACCTCCCTCTCCTGGCCCCTGGGCTCCATGCTCTGCTTCACCTGACAGTGTGAACACAGGTGCGGGGGGAGGGGAGGTCTGCCCCCCACTCCTGTGTCAAATCACACGCACCGAGAGAGTCAGGCTTTGCTCGGCTCTCGGATGCACGGCTGCATTCTCAGAATGCTCTGAGTGCAGTTAGGAGTATGATCCTTCCTGCTTATTTAGATCGCGCCTGGTGCTTAATTTAGAAGACATTCTTCTCCATGCATTTAAGTTTCTTCTTAAAAAACCGCTGTTGAGCAGTAAAGAGCTGCAAGTATCTGCTAACTGCTCCATCTTCCATTTTCTAGACAAGGCAACTGAGGCCCAGCGATGATCCTAGGGCCACAGGTGGCCGAGGTATAAGCTAGAGGAGGTCGCTAGGCCCCTGCTCCAGGCCCCCTACAGCTGCTCTGGGCCAGCCAGGGAGCGCACCACATCAGCAGACAGCCCACTGGGTTATGCCCATGAAGAGCCAGAGGGAGCCAGGGACAGGGAGCCAGGGACAGGGAGCCAGCCTTGGCCAGGCCCCCTCCCACGTCAGAGCCCCTCCCTCGAACCTCCCAGAAAGGCCAGACAACACAGTCAGTGCAGAAAGGCAGCGTCCTAAGCTGGGGACACGGGCCAGGCTCCTTGGGCTGTTGCTCGCTAGGCAACAGCTCTGGGGCAGAAAATTTGGGGTGAATCAGCATCTCAATGAGTGTACCCCTGCCTCCCAAGAGTCTCTGAGCAGGCCCCATTTTCCTACCCAAGAAGCATCTGTGATGTCAGGGCTGGCACTCTTCCTAGGCTATGCCCAGACCCTCAGCACTTTCAGGGAACGGGAGGAAGGTATTTTGACAGCAGGAGTGTCCAGCCTGGCCCCACATCTGGCAAGTTCTCCCACCTTCCAGGCTCACCAGCAAATCCTCTGTCACCTTCTCTGGAGCCTAAAAGAGCTGGTCCCACAGGCCAGAAGGCTGAAGGAAAGGCGCAGAGGAGGCACGGAGCATTTGCTTGCACACCAGGACGGAAGGGCTCAGTGCTCTTTCCTTCCATCCTGACACACAGACATCAGAAAATGAGACTTTGCAGTTGGGGATCTCAGGAAATGACCTCTGCCAAGGTCATCTGGACCCTGCCCCTGTAATGCGTCCCCCTCATTTCCACATGTCCACAGCTAACCAATCTCAAGGGGACCTTAAATAATCATGATGATAGTGATCATAACATCAACAACAAAAGCTAAAATCACTGACAACATCAAGCTGGGCGTACTAGTTCTGTTATTATCAGCTGCACTTTACAGATGAGCAGACTGAGGCAGAGAGGGGCTAAAGAAGTTGCCCAAGGTCACAGAGCTACTAAGGGGTGAAACCTAGATTCAAACACAGGCTGAAGGCTCCAGAGATCATGTTCTTTGCCATGGAGACTTCAAATCCCTCATTCACAAAGCCAGAGAGGCTACAGCCCTTCTCTGAATCCCTGTGGCACCATGCACTGTTCAGACCTTGGACACCCCATCTCACAGCAAGGAGTGGGTACACAGATCTCCAGCAGATAGGGTGCTGGAGGACCCAGACAACCAGCCAGGACACCAGGCAAGATCCTATATCCAGCAGGGTCTCCAAAGAAAGCAGCTTAAAAACACACATCCCCCCCCCAAATAAACCATTGTCCATACCTGATGGATACTTTGTTGAAGAAAAGTCACCAGCTCCTCATAGCAGGTCAAACTGTGCAGTGTGAGCTGAGGAGACACAAACCCATAGCGTGAGCTGTCTGAGCTCCACAGACGGTTCCATGTCCTGCCCTGGCTTCAGTAGCTACAAGCCCCCACTTGGGAATGTCCCTGAGGTCACAGTGGCGACCCTGAGAGCCAGGGCAGCGAGGAACCCCCATGCCTGTTTGTGACAGGATCCAGCTGGGGTCTCCGGGGTCAAGTCAGCCCTGCCAGCCAGACAGGGCCTACAGAGCCCAGGAATGGAGACCCCGTGGAACTAAAGCAAAGGAGCCAGTGGCATGCATGCCTCGCCCCACCAACCAGCGGGGCTGCACCCCTGCAGGCCAGTCACAGGTATCTGAGAAGCACCTGGGGCCTGGCAGGAGGGTGGGGGTGTGTGGAGAGAGGCAGGAGTCCCATCCAATGGGCCACCACCAGTACGGCTCTGAGCCCAGCAGGCAGTGTCATGAGGTCAGTGGAAAGCTGTGGGTCTGAGTTTCCTTTGCTTTCTCACGCAGCTCAGGAGAAAACCACTTGTAGAGACAACACCCAACTAGGTGAGACCCCTAATTAGGATCCTAGGGCCACATGTGCCCAAACTTAGGTCAAAGGAAACAAACTATGTCAAACAAAAGGCCTCAGTGAAGAGGAGGCTCATCTGTGGGAAATGTGGCTGTGTCCTCATTCTCATGTCTCCCATTTCTTTCCCTTACTTGGTCACACTAGGTCTGGCTTCATGGCTGGTGCTCTGCAAAGCTCTTCCTCATTCTCTACCCCACCCCTCTGTCTCCATGCCACCCCACTGCCCTCTCACAACAACCCCAGAGGGGATGCTGAGGAGACAGGGAGGGCTGTGGCTTGGCCAGAAGGCATCACACATGGACTGCTCTTCTCTGTACAGCCTCCAGGTGACAGGGTGTCCATCAGCCTTTTAGCCATAAGGGCAGTTCTGGCCAAACACCCCCAGACCCCCACCTCTGCCCGCACCCCATCCCAGGTGGAGGATCTGCTAGCCTGGGCTGCAGGGAGGGCTGACCCATCCCCAGCTGAGGGAGGATTTACTTATATGAAAGGAGACCATCCCCAAACAAAGCCAAAGGTTGCGTGATAATTTTTCCAGAAAGCCGTACTGTTTCTAAGACTCCATCTGCTTTGTATTTCCCTGTTGGACTGAAGTGCTGTGTTCCCGAAGCCCTAAAAAGGAAAGAGAGATGCATGAGTCCTCCGCATGGAGAGAAGACATGCCCTTGAGCCAGCGTGAAACCACATGTGCCACTGACTGAGGACAAATAAAAAGGTGGCTCTGGACGAAAGAATGGGACTGAGGGTTTCTCCTTTAGCCCCCGATTTGAACTCACCCAATAGGCTGGGCCCAGGGGACCTGATGAGTGGGGGAAGGGAAAGGAATGGAAAAAAGACCTCAGGAGGAGAGCTCAGGGTAACCAAACCCAAGTCCTGGCAGTAGGGAGTCTGCCTCTCACCCACGACTGACAAATAGATTTCCAGACCAGGAATGCTGACTTGCCCTTCGCTTTCAGGGCCGTGAGGAATTCCAGCCTCTGGCCTGAGGCTCCCCACACCAACCCCATCGCCATCTGTCTATACAACACCCTGTATGTGCAGCCCAGGAGATACACACTAGAAGTGGGGTCTGGGTGTGCGGCCCACGATGCCATTAGCCTGCTGCGTAGGCTGGGACAGCTGCTGCCCCTCCATCTGTAAAACGGGGAGAAATTGAATTTTTGCCCCATCTGTTTTCAGGGCTGCCATACAGATCCTAAGGGCCAGGGTTAATGTGTAATAATGTATTATCTGGAACACGAGTACCAAGGACAAGCACTCCATAGGAACAATAACAGTGATACCTAACTGTTAAGGTATTTAGTATGGGCCAGACATTGTCCTAAGCACTTCACATTTATTATTATTTACCATTTGCTTATATGGATAAATGATTTAAACTCATAGATAGTATTATCATTTGTTATATATGATTTATTTATATGGACTCATTTAATTCTCACAATCACTCTACCAGATAATCATTACTATCATCCACATTTTCCAGATGAGTACACAGATGAAGCACAAAGAGCACAACTGCCCAAGGTCATACAGCCAACAAACAACAGCATTGGGAGTTAGCCTCTGGAGCCCCTTCTCTTAAGCAGTATGCTCTAGTAATCATTCTACCCCACCTGGGTGTCACCTTTGGCCCCCAAAGGTACCCCTTTTACCCAAGCTTAGCCACAGGCCTGGGATGAAGTGATGCTTCCACTATGAAGGGCCAGATTAAAAAGCAGACCAACCATCCAGGGATGGTGTCCTCCACCTGCAGTAGGATAGAGGCAGCAGGGGAGGTCTCTTTTTCGGTGGCGCAGGGGGCCAGGTGACAAAGCGAATGGAAGCATGTCTTGGGGACTAGGAGAGAGGTATGAATCAGAGGTGTAACTGGTTCCTGAGAGGTCCAGATCAGAGAAATAGGGGAGCAGGCTTCCTAGGCCAGAAGTTTTCTCTGATGGGATGTGTCCCCCAAAGCTCCCCAGGGAGGAAGGCCAGGCAGATGTGACCCCCAGCAGAGATGAGACTGGAGCTGCGTGGAGGCCCCTCCAGGCCTCTCCCCATGCGGGGCTGCCTCGCTGGGCTTGTACCAGCGTGGGGCATGGGGCCGACATCCAGGAGGATACACAGACAAGCAACATCCCTAAGGACAGGAAAGCACATGGCCAGCTTGTCCGCAGCTGTGCCAGCGCATGAGTGGTAGCAGCATGGCCCTGGGGAGTACTTACAGTGTGATCACAGCTCTCTCTCGGCCCCCCGCCCGCCACACCATGTCTGCGATGGCCAGGGCGAGGCAGTGGGTCCTGTGGGCGTTGGAAGGCTGCAGCTGCCTGAGAAGGAAAAAGAGTGTGTTTATGTCTGTAGGGACACAAGCCAGGGACTGTGCCACCCTATAGCAGATGGCCTATTCTTTCCTCTCCCACACAGAGAGAACCCCGCAGCCCACAGACTCCAGCAGGGCCTCCTCGGACCCAGGCCAAAGGAAGACCCCTGAGGGAGAGGCCCTGGGTGGGACTGGAGGAGGAACAGGTCCAGGAAGCTGCCCAGGGGAGCAGAGGAGACCCTGGAGGCTTGGCAGGGCTGTGGGTTCTGATGGAGCCCAGGAGGCTGAGCTAAATGTGTTCGGGAACTCACGCCGCCCCAAGGAAAAGCGGCCACCCCAGGCAAATGCCTGGTACTGTCCTGACCCAGTCTTGGCCACTCCCAGTATCCAGGCCCCTGGAGAAAGCAGCCTGTGCGAGCAGGTGCCCTTCAAGCCCACCAGCCACAGGAAATAAGATCATGGGTGCAGACGGGAAGGCAGCCTGTCTTGCTGTTACTTATATATAGGGTGTGGAATGGGGGAGAGGAAGGATTAGGGGTAATCTCTGGGGGTTTAGTGGGTGCAGTGAGGCTGCCAAATGGAATGGGGAATGCAGGGCAGAGAGGAGGATTTGGGGAGCAGCTGGATGCGCATGCGGGACCCCTCGGTGAAGCTGTCTGACACATGGAAAGCCCAGGAGGGCATCGGGGCTGAGGGTAGGTTTATGAGCCGCCAGCATGTAAGAAATCCTTGGCACTTTGAGGGGCTAAGATTTCCCAGAGAGAGGACGGGGAAGGGCAGAGGCAGCAGCCAAGGATGGAACCCACAGAACTCTGGGTTATCAGAGACACAGATGAAAGCAGGAAAGGGTGCAGCAGTAGGGGCATGGCTGGGAGACAGTGCTGTTACCCAGTCCTGGGAACAAATGGGCTTTGAACAAAACAGGTAGTCAACAATGCCAAAAATGGCAGAGAGACACCTGATGATAAAAATGGTAACAAAGAAGCCCTGGTGCATGAAATGAGCAACAGGAAAGAACAGGCAATAGCCTGACAGAGACACTTCTTTCAGTTTCATCTTTCCAGGGCTCTTTAGAGCTGTACTTCCTGCCCACTGCTGGAATCTATGAATTTTTTCTAAATTCTTAGAAAAATTAAATTCTTACAAAAGCAGTCTGAGTGTTAGGCTCTTCCTAACAGACAAAGGTGCTTGATGAAGACCTGCTGGGGCTCAAAGGAATACACGGTGGGGGGTGGGGGGATTCTATGTTTTCAGTGCCCAGCTAATATTTGAGGTCCATGCTGAGCTGTGGGGCGGCGGGGAAACTGGAGAACCAGGCAACCAGGACACAGGTCAATATGATGGGCAGCATGTGGCCACTCCCCAGTGCCTGAGAGGCAGAGCAAGTGGTCTGCATCCAAGCTGTCCAATGACTTTAAAATGGGAGGTGAATGACACAGCCGTCCCTCAGTTCCCCTTCCATAAACAAGAGATGACAACAGTACCTCCTCTGTAGCACTGGGGGCTTTAAAACAAGGTGATAATGTGTAAGGTCCATAGACCAGTGCCTGGCATGGGATGAATGTTCAATAATGGACACCTATCACTATTGTCTTTATGGAAACATCAAGTCCCCACTTTGGCTGTGGTGACAGGAAGGTGAACTCCTAACATCTGGCGTGAAAGAACAAGCCCCTGACACCAGGCAATCCTTCAAACCTAATGAGACAAACAACAAGTCCTCAACCACTTGAAAGATGAAATGGCAGACTGCCTGCAACTTCTGCAGCCTTTGGAAGCCCGCCACGCTTCTCGAGGAAATGGTTACCACGCCATCACTAAACCAGGGAGCCTGAGCTGTGCGGGGAGCACTGGCCCAGGTCACCATCAACTATGAAAACAAAGGTAAGGAAATGTTGTTCTGGGTTTCCGGAGAGGTGATGCCAAGGACAGAGGAGGGCCTGGAAAGCAGGGCTTGTCAGACAAAGGAGAAAGGATTGGCCATTTATCTCTTTGGGTTCAGAACCTACGAAAGTAGGCTTCATCATCCCCACAGCTCCTGTTTCCTGCTGTGTGCCCTCCTGTGTGACCCCACTCAGGTGGCGACACACATCCTGTCAAATACCCCTCCTGAGAACCCCTGCCAATCCCCATCCTGCCCCTACCCAGGACTGGGGTGCCCTGCTTCCCCAGATGAGTTGTTACAGCCAGGGCCTGACCAGTGTTTCTGCTCCGTCTTGTCCCTGTGGGCTCTTCCTGCAACATAGGGGTGACCAGGGTACTCCCCGGTTAGAACCCTTATCATGGCTAGAATTGTGCAAAATTGTGTCTGGACTGTAAACTCTGCCTAGGACAGCTATGCTGGAAAACCTGCAGACTGGACCTGAGAAGTCCCCTTTCACACAGTCACTGTGCTCTACACGAACTTGCTGATGCGAGTCATGTGCTTCACTGAAAGCTTCTCGGTGTAGCCACAAATAAGATTTATAAAGCCGACACACAGGGGCACCTGGGTGGTTCAGTGGTTGAGCGTCTGCTTTTGGCTCAAGTCACAATCCTGGGGTCCTGGGATCGAGTCTCCCTGGGATCTGGCTCCCCGCAGGGAGCCTGCTTCTCCCTCTGTGTCTCTCATGAATAAATAAAATCTTTATTAAAAAAAAAAAAAAGCTGACATATTGAGCACTTACCATGTGCCAAGCACTGTTAGAAACACTTCACATGTATTGTTTCATCAGCCATCAAAGCTCCCTTATAAAGGTGGCAGTATTCTTGCCCCTTTTAAGAGAGGGAAACTGAGGCACATAGACTGAGACACTCGAGGTCACACCGTAAAGTTGGAAAAATTAAAACAGCATTGAGGGAGGAAGGAGAACTCGGGGAAGTGGAACCAACTGTCTGGAGCTCTTGGCTTTAAGAACCAGCATCCCTCTGTCTTCAAGCCCGTCTCTTCAGCACCGTGCAACACCACCAAGAGATCCAACTCATGTCTTCCTGATCTCACAAACTGGTCATAGACCATCTGAACCTCTGTGTTTCCACACCAAAATCCTCATTCCTCTCACTGGTTCTCATTTAGAAACTTTTCCCATCTCTCCATCCTCTCCTGGGCCCCAGTTTGCTCTTTAGAGACACATCTTTCCAGAAGACACAGTGGGAAAGTGCAGTGGCCGGGCCTGGGTTAGGCTCCTGGCTCCCAGGCCTTAGGGAAGCCCCTGGCCCTCGCTGGCCTTCACCTTCCCACACAGATATGGACACCGGGCCACGTGCCCCCAAGCATCATTCTGCCATTTGACTGGCCACAGGGTGGACAGGGCTATCCATGCAGATGACGACGAGAGGAAGGGAACAGTGGGGTAAGTCACCCAGACTCCAGCTTCACCAGGTACCTCCCTGCTTTAACCTGCAAAACCTCAACGACCAGGAGGGTCCTGGGTTGCCTTCATCGCTCAGATACACACTCATCAAACTCCTCCCACAAATCTAGCACCCAGCCTGGCTCTCCAACCAAGAGAAGTTTCTTTAAGCATCTACTTCCTCATGGGAGAAGTCCAGGATGAAGACATCTGTCTATGGGTGGTGGTGGGTGGTGGTGGGCGTAGGGGAGCAGTACAGCCTTCATGCTTGCCCAAACTACTCAAGTCCTCCAGAATAAAGGGATGTTCTGATGCTGATGATCTCCAACTAGCCTCACCCATCCACTCTGCTGTGCCCAGCAGTCCACATCTACAAACCACCCAGAGGAAGGCTGGGGAATGCCCGCAGCCTGTCTGTTCCCTCTCAGGCTCACCAGCTGCTGCCGGGGGTGGGAAGAAGCATGGTCTGGGGACTGCTGGACCTGGGGTCCAACCCCAGCTCTGCCACTGGTGTCCAGACAGGCCTCAGAAAACTGTCCCTCCTTCTCTGAGCCTTGAATGTGGCAATTTCAAAGGGCAGAGGAGGTGAGGAGCCAACATCCTTGTCTGTGGCTCTCTCTAGGCCTGCAGGGGAGTGAGGCTCATCATTGCTTCCCACAGCCAGCCACTGGCACGACCCCTCCCTCAAGGGGTAAAACACGGAGCCCTGCCGCCTGGCTCTGTCCTCGACTGAGGAGAGGCCAGCTGCCGGCCTGACAGAGTGGGCCCTAATGAAGCCAGACAGCCCTGAGGAAAAAACACCACCCCTGCCAAGAGGCCTTTATTTCAGCATGACTTCCCTGGAGGGCGCAGTCAATCCCCCACGCAGCTTCCACAGAATCGGTTCCATCCGTGGTGGGTGGAGGATGTGAGGAGGGGCCCCACCGCCAGGCCTGCAGCCCAGCGTGGGAAGGCCCACAGTCCTTCAAGCCCCCACCTCCACCCCCAGGGCCCAGAGTTGGGCAGCTGCCTAGACGGGGCGGGCCAGGCCACCGTGGTGTTCCTAAAGAGAACAGAGGAGTCACCTGCATTTTTTTTTTAAGTCGGGTCATTTCTGAAATCCTGGAATTTCAGTGTCAAAATGAAGTACTGAAGCCTCCAACTCCACTCAGCACGCACCAGCCAGGCAGAAACATCAACAACCCAACCCATCAATATTAAAATCGTATGAATAAATCAAGGAAACCAGAGGTGCTGGGCACAGAGAGAGGCTCCTACAGGGAGGTCACCCGTGGTTCACACGAGGCAGGGGGTCCCCAGGATTTTGCTGTATTACTCTTTGTACCCTTCTGTACTGAGTTCTTTCAATCAGCGGTAAGGAGGGAGGCTCTTCCCAGAAGCCCTCTGTGAAACACAGAGCTGCACCTTGGTCATGAGAGTCCATATAGGGTCCAGCACCCAAGTGTTCTAAACTCAGGCCATCAGCCTCCTGGCACTAGCCCCTCCTGACCCCTCTGGCTCTCCCATTGCTCAGAGTTTCTTCTGGGGCACAGCAGAGTCGATGGCAGACAGGCTCAGCCACAGATGCCAGGAGGGACCCCGGGCGAGCATCTTCCCTTTCTGATCTTCCTATGGTCCTGCCTGCTTGCACAGCCCTTGATGATTTGCATTTCCTTGTCGAGTCAAACTTAGAGGCAAGACAGAGATTCACCACTGAAAAAAGTGAGGCCTTGCAGCCCAGGTCTCTGGATCCAGCCCAGTATGTCCCACCCTGGAATGGGCTAAGGAGAGCAGGATACTCCTTCTAGCCTCAGCATGGGCACCTACAGGCTGTGTGGAAACTCACGTGGCAGGGACAACCCTCTGTGGCTTCTGACCTGCAGGGCCTCACGGCCACAAAGACTCTGCTCTCACTTCCCTCCTCTGCTGCCAGCCCTGGGCACCAGGCCCTTGCTCCCCTGACCTTGGTTTGCTGCAAGTCCTAGCTTGAACCCAGAAGACTCTCCCCTCCTACCCCTAATCCCCCTCGAGCCCCACCACAGCCCCACAGCAAGGGAAGTAGGAGAAGGAAACACAGGACTCGTGTGTGTGTGTGTGTGTGTGTGTGTGTGTGTGTGTGTAGGCATCTGGCACCGCCCCTTGCCTATAGTCTACCACCACTGGGACCTCCCTCAGCTCGTCCCCCTCTGAGGTACCTCTTCCTGAGCCCCTGATAGAACCCTGGTGGATGGAAGCAGAAAGCCAGCCCACGGCACTCAACCTGCATGGAGGTCAGCCCTGGTTGCAGCACCTGGGGCAGCAGGGGCTAGGGGTGCAGAAGGGAAGGTGTTTCTGGTAAGGAACAGTTGTGGGACTAGTTGTGGGGCTCTCCCCCAAAAGGAATAGTTGTGGGGCTCCCAAGAAAACTGAGGTCACTCTTCCGCAGCATGGATGCTCCCATGCTTCCTGGAGGAGGGGGCCCTGGCCTGCAGGCCAATCTCCCTGGATACTGCACACAGACCTCTTCTGGTTGAGCCAGGCAGCCAGACTGGGGCTCCTTCCCACCTGGCACACCCCTACATAAATCCCCCAGCAGCTCCTTCTTCCCCCTTCTCCCTCTGCCTATCCACCACTGCCCCTAGGACCCAGCTCAGACCCAACCAGCCTGGCCACCGTGGGCCTTCGATCTAGGCTGACCCCAATTCCCCTCTCAGAGTCCCAGCGGACGGGGAGCCTGTGGGAGCCAGGAATGCACTCCCTCCTCCCTCCTTCCCAGCAAAGACTTGACGGAACTCTCCTCTGGTCAGTGCTTAGACACCGGCCAGTGTAAACTGGGGCCTGAGTCCACGCATGGCCAGCGGTTGGCTTGCAGATGGTGGGAGGTGTTAGAGAATTTCACATCCCATAGCTGACCCATTTTGCTTTCTACCCAGAGCCCAACTTGCACCCACAACCAGGACGTCTTTTTGCCTTCCAGGCCCTGGCTCCGCTCTCTGGTGTGGGGACCAGACTGCTCCCTGGATAATATGCCTATGGGTATAGAGGCTAGAACATCCTCTCAGTGGTGGTGGGGAGGGACGAAAAGGAACTAAGCCTGCCTTGTGTGTGCCCTGGGCAGAAATAGCCCTTCCTGGAACCAACTTAAACACCCCATCCCAACCTTTGGGAAACAATCCACAACTTCCCCCAAGTACAAAGTCCAAGTTCAAAAGCAGCTCTGAAGGAGAAGGGGGCCGAAATAAATTATGAGACATCTCCAATGAGGGCCAAGGCCACGGCCTGACCCAAGCGGCTGGTAAGACCCCAAGGCCCTTGTGGCAGCCTGGCCCTGACCCATCCGCCAGCCTCAGATCTCATCCTGCCCCTACAAACTCTGCCCCAGGCACCCTCAGGCAACTCTCAGCTCCTCTCTCTGCCCTGCTCTCACTGCCCTCGGGCCTCTGACATATTGTTCTCCTTACTGGAACACCATTCCCTCCCCTCCCTGTTAGTCTGGATAACTCATGCATTTGTCTATGCGTTCATTCAACAAAAATTCTGAGGGCCTCTTCTGTGGAGTAGGCCCTGGGCTGGATGCCAGGGACAGACTGCGAACCAGGCAGCCCAGGGAGGCCCCTGTTCCCATGGGGCTGGTGTTCTCAGCGGAGGAGAAAGGACAGAAGACTGTGGACAGGTAACAACGTCAATGAACGAGGGCACCAAGTGGTGGGGAGGCCTTGGAGCAGGCCCAGGTTTGTCTCAACTAGGGAAGGCCTCCCTGATATCAAGGCCTCTGTGCTGTGAGGAACCCAGAAGAAGTCTGAGGGATTGGCTGGGAAGGGGGACACTGAGGGAGGAACAAGCATGTGCAAGGATGTGTGTGAGGCCAACTGGGAGTCCTGATTATCTCCAGACCTCAGTGAGAGTTAAATGTCACTCCTCCAACAGGCCTACCCCACCCTGCCTAGGTCTGGGTGAACCCTGAGCACCTGGCACATCCCTGTGAGCCTCCTGCTTGTCTGGCTCTCGTGCTTGATCATAGGTGCCATGAAAGCAAGGCCGTGGCTGTCCTGCTGAGCCCTGTGTTCCCTCCAAGCACCTGCCAAGCCCTCCCTGCATGCTTCTTTTCAGTGCAAGGAAGGAAGGTGGGCAGGCAGGGGCATGTGCACTCAGGGACAGTCCCTGCACCCTTTGAGGGCAGCAAGAGGTCCCTCACTTAGCAAGCAGGGAGCATTCCAGAATATCATGCACTGTGCTGCCTCTCCAGGAGAGTCGACAGCAGGGTAACCGTCGGCCGTGGTCACTGTGGGCAGCAGTCTGCTGGCTGGCCTTGCAGAGGCCTTGCACAGACAGGAGCGGCTATGTTCGGCCTGGTGGGGATGGGCACGGAGAACAGCAAGGACAAGGTGGGATCCTGCTGTGGAAATGCGATGTCCCTCTGCTCTGGCTATAGTTATGCTACACTGGTAATTAGCATCTTTTAGCTTGAGATACAACACCTTGATGATTACATGGTAATTAGACAAATTATATTATTAGACAAATTCTAAAATGCCAAGCAGGAAGAGCTACCTTCACTTAGGCCCTGTCTGAGGCAAACTCCTCTAAGTCAGTAAAAGATGTTTCATTTGTCCTGAGCTTGGCAGGATATCAGGGGAGCCAGCATCTCTCCCAGGAATCTAAACATGGATGAATGGGGAATGGGCCTTTGTTGTCTTTATAACACCTCAGGTTTGGTTTTTGGTTGGTTTGGTTTGGTTATGGTTTTTGGTTTGGTTTTCAAGGCACTGGAATGCCCAGAGCAAAGAGCAAGTCCCTATAATTAAAATTCAGAAACTAGGGACACCTGGGTGGCTTAGTGGTTGAGCACCTGCCTTCGGCCGAGGATGTGATCCTGGAGACCTGGGATCGAGTCCCACGTTGGGTTCCCTGCATGAAGCCTGCTTCTCCCTCTGCCCGTGCCTCTGCCTCTCTCTCTGTGTCTCTCATGAATAAATAAATAAAATCTTAAAAAAAAAAAAACTGGCAAAACTCAGCTGTGATTTTAGAATCTGTTTAATCACAACTTTGTGGAGGGGAATGGCAGTATCTACTAGGCAGGAGGACTCTTCTGGGGTGCCGGAGATATTTTTCTTTTTTGATCTGGCTGATAGGTTCACGGGTGTGGGACTTTGCAATAATGCACTGAGCAGAGCATATAGGAGTTGTGCACTTTTTTGAGATGTGTACTTTTCTGTATGCATGTTCTATTTCAATTAAGAGAGAGAGAAAAGAAAACATGCCAGTTCTAGAGTTCTGGGGGGTAACCGAGCCCAAGCTAGTAACTGGGCACACGGGGTGAGATCAGAGTAAGAAGCTGATCTCAAACTGGCCATCCAGCCCCGGCCTTGGCCAGCACCTTGCCAATCCTATCTTAGCACCCCCCACAGCAAACAACTGTGGTTTTCTATCCACCCCTCAACCTCACAGAGCACTCTGCCTGCACAGAGATGTTCCAGAAAAGTCGATGGAGTGAGTGAGGAGAAGGAGGTGCCCATGTGTAAACACTTAATGTGTGAGGTGGAAAACAAATGGCTGAAGGGAGTGGAAGCAATGCACTGTGGGGCCGGCTGGAATGCGTGGTAATGGCTGTTGGCAGAGGTGAGGTAACATGGGGAGGGAGGGGAGACCTGGGCTCAGTCGAAGGGTCAGCAGGTTGATGTGGGTGTGGATGGGATTTGGGCAGCTGCTGCGCTCGACTGCTGAGGAGGGGGCGGCCTGAGTTTGGGTGCCATTCCAGCAGCTGCTTGCCACATGGAGCAGGACTTAGCAACCCTCCCTTCTTTTAGAGGCAAACGCATGCAGGTCATTTAAACTGGTCAGGGCTGGCCCCATGAGCCAGTCGCCATTTCCCTTTCCAGAAGACAGGAAATATCAGGGAACACACACGCTTCCTTGCTTGTTTTTTCTGGACACTGAGGAAAAGACTTGGGAAAAGAAGATATTGCTAGAATGAGCGCTGACTTACCGAACACCGTCAGCTTTGCTATCTCCTTCAAATAGGAGTTTTTGTAGGACACAGCCTTGGACAGCTGCCAGAACCCCACAGGGACCCCCCTGCAAAGAAGGACATACATTAGTGCCAGTGAGGACTGGCCCAAGGCAGAGCTGTCTGTTCCTCCAGAACCAGCCTCTACCCACAGGTTATAGACATGGGGCCACGAAGCCACCGCCTCTCACACATGGGCCTTTGATACGCTGAATACTTCTACAAGGCACTGAGCCTGATCACAGAGAAGGGGGGGACAGAGGACCCAGGGCCCAGTACCGGAGAAGCAACAGGTCTGCAATGTCTCCTGCGAGGAAAGCCCGCCCTCACAGCCAGTCAGGTATACAACCAGGTATGTCCCAGGCATCCAGGGCCATGCTTCCACAGGCTGAGGATGTCAATGGTTTGCTCAGCCTTCAAGGCCCATCCTAAAGGCGTCCTCTACCAGGAAGCCCTCCCTGACGATCTCAGCAGCCCCTTCAGCAGCCTCTGCTTATGTGAGCACCTTCTACCCAGCTGTGGCCTGCCTGAGCACCCGTTAGGTGTGTCTTGGCCCCCTCACCCATGTTAGAGGAAGAAAGCTCCTTGAGAGTTCATCCCTGTAGGCATCCACAAGTACAAGGATTATCAGAGTAGCAGGTGTGAGTACCCTTGAACTGTGGGTGCAGGAAGAGGTGCTGAGCTTGGCCACACTAGGGACAGAGGCTAATAGTCCTGGGGTTCTTCCACAGGCAGTGAGAGGCAGGGGAGACTCTAGGGGCTTGAGAAACAGAACCCCATTGGGCTGCTGGATTTCGAGTATCTTCTTGCCCTTTAACCGGGGAAATGTGTACACACCGTGTCTGAATCCTGCCCCAGCCTACCTACATTTCCCTGTCTTACAAGGCACCTCCCCTTCATGCACTTCTTCTCAAAGCCTCCCCTTTATTCATGCTGCCTCCTGCTTCAAGTGTCCTCCTCTTTCCAGCCCCACCTGCAACACCATTTCCCAAGACTCTGCCTGAGGACCCCTTTGATGCGCCCAGCCAAACATAGGGCCTCCTTCCGCCCCTCTCAGAGAGGCTTCTGGCCATTGAGGAGAAGACTTGGTAGGGTGAGGGTCACATTCCCCAGCTCTTGCTCTACCAGCCCCCAATGCAGTCCCAGCACTGGGTGATGAACCTGGGGCTAGCCAGCACTGGATAGCTCAGGAAATGTGCATGGGACTTAGCAAACTGGAGGACACCCTGCTACTATATGTGCCAGGCCCGCAGAAACATCCCTGGGAGACGTAAAGGCAACCTGCCTTGTTCTGCACGATGCCATATTTTAATGACGCTTCGTCACTGAAGGAAAAACTCTGAAGTTTCCATTCTTCATTGAAACAGCAAAAGCTGGAACCGAACAGAAGAGTCTTTATGTCCTGTCAAAAGAAGAGAGGGTTTCGTTAGTTGTCTTAAGGGCAAACTTAGTATTATTAGTATTAAATTAGTATTAGCATTACTATTATTATTATTGGTATTAAATCATAGTATTATGCTGCTCAGTGTTTGAAGTCCCTCAGGAGCTGGTCTTGCATTCTAGCAGCACAGTCTGTTTTCCAGCAAGGTCATCGACTTTCGTTCTTTCACAAACTCATTCTTCTCACATTTGAGAGAAGAGAAAATGTGACCCTGAGGGTCTTGGCTCTGGAACATCCGCAGGCCAAACCAGCCTATGCTGACCCAGGCCCAAGTCTTTTTAGGTTCCTTAGAGGAAAACCGAAACACAAAATTTTAGTTCTAGAAGAGACCTTGGAGGTTCTCGACTGCACGCTATAATCACCTGTGGAGCGCTTAACAATCCTGGTGCTCAGGCCACATACCAGCCCAGCTAAATCAGAACCCCGGGGTGTTAGACTCCAGTGTCTGTAATTTTAAAAGCTCTCCAGGCAATTCCAAAGTGCAGCTATGTTGGAGAACTGGTGCCGTAAGACAGGCTTAGCAAACTATGACTCACAGGCCAAATTTGGCCCCACACATGTTTTGTAAATAAAGTTTTACTGAAACATGGGATCACCCATTTACTTATAGATTTTCGATGCTGGCTTCTACGTTACAATGGCAGAGTCGAGCGGCTGCAACAAAGAGCCCAAAATACACAATCTGTCCCTTTACAGAAAAAGTTTGCCAGCCCCTGCATTAGTACCACCCCCTACTACATGTAAGAATCTCCTCTATGCCATCACCTACAAGTGGTCCCCCGTGAACTCAACTTGAACCCCAACAACCCAGTGAAGGGATTCCCACCACCCCCCAAGGCAGTACCTCCATTTTTTCACAGCTCTGTATCCTCTAAATTTCTAGCTGATATTGATATCACTGTGCATCTCCCATAAACCCAAGCCCTACCCTGCAGAGCCCTGGAAAGTGCCCTGAGCAGCCCTGGAAGGCACGGCCTCTCCTAGAATGCCCCTTCCTAATGCCGCTACCTCCTCTCTGTCCACCATGATTTTATAAGGTCTCTGAAGGATCAACACATGGGTTGTATGGCCACCTCTCCAGGTCAGATCTTTCCTGCAGATTCAGATTATTTCCTTTCAGAATTTTTTTTTTCATTACACGTGAGGAAGTCTAATTGATCAAAGCATTGGTCTACACGACGTCAAATGTGGGCTGGCGGCACACAGGAGAGAAGGCTGGGTGAATTCAACTGCCAGGACTTGGTTTCCCGTCTTACACAACAACAATCAAACAAAAAACAAATTTGAACTGAGTTTTTTGAGAGCTTAGAAACTACAGGGACTGGAGTTTTCTGGCTGAAGCCCATGTCTGTTCTCTTAATCACAGAACGACAGGCCGCTAAGCACAGTGTGGTCACCAGGCCACAGAGTTGCAAGCCTGGAAGCCTGTGTGCTATGGATGCCTGTGCCCTGGGCCCTCCTTTTCCTGGGTGGGCCTCAGGTTTTCCAGCTTTCGGAAATGCTACTGCTGGATGGTCTGATTTTAGGAGTCTCAAAGGGCCCCTCTCAAAATAGGAGTGTGCACTGCAATGAATCACAGCCCTGTGGCTACAGATAGCCAGAGCACTTACTCCCGGGCTTGAGGCCATGTAGAGTGTATGACCCTACCCCCTGGCCTCCTCTGCCCTATGGTCTGAAAAGAAGGAAAGAAAAGAGAGGGGAGGAATGGAAAGGGATAACACTCCTAGAAAAATCTTTGACTTTTTTATCTGTGAGCTGAGTAAATACTTATAGATAGGAAGCAAAGGAGGTCAACTGCATCCCCAGGCATTTTAGCTTTTCCTCCTGGATCCTGGTTGAAGAGCCAGTGGCAGACAGCAGGAGCAGCATTCCATCCCCCAGAAACTGCCGGCCAAGGGGAGAGGTGAGGCCATCTGGCAGCTGAGATGGTGAGGAATCCAGGGCATCCCTGCAGAGGAGGCTGACAAGGCCAGGAACCTGCTCCCTAAGTCTTATGACCTCAAGTGCCCCCCAGGAGGCCAATGCCAATGTGAACCCAATGCTAAGGAATGATTAACACCCGGATATCCTTCCCTCACTTCGATGCAGCCTGAGCCCAGCTTGGGAGATGAGCGCCAAAGAGCCAGTCAAATGAGGATAGTCCTCCTACTGCCATCACAACTCTGGAGTTGCCTATTGCACATGTGGGGTAGCAGCACTAGGCCGAAAGGAGAACAAGACCTTGGAATGTCTGAATGGGAGGAGGTTGTACGCTCACCTCCTCTTGGAGAGGACAAGGCCCTCACTTTCCTGACTGGAATTTCCATTTTAACAATGACTGAGACATAAGCTGAATGGGGCCAGAGGGATCAAAGTCACCTCACCCACACCAATTCACACCAAGACAGCCTCGATTCACACTGCACCGATTCATACCAATTCAAATCAAAATGCATCCATCCACACTTTTAACTCCACACCAACCTTGGCCACTGAAAGGTCCATCGGCTTTGACACTATTTGCAGCTTGAGCATCGTTGGGACTGGAGACAGGATCACTTCTTCCCTTGTCAGTTCATCCTCCACATCCTCTGAAAGAATACCAGGACATGTGAGCTTCTCGTTATGATGCATAGAGAACAGAGTAAGAAATCACTTGGGGTGTCTGGGTGGCTCAGTGAGGTGTCCAATTCCTAGTTTCAGCTCAGGTCATGATCTCAGGGTCGTGGATTGAACCTCATACCGGGCTCCACACTCAGCAGGGAGTCTACTTCAGATTCTCTCCTTCCCCCCTTCCTCTGTCCCTCCCCCAGCTCACCCTCTTCAAATAAATAAATAAATAAATAAATCTTTAAAAAAAGAAAAAAAAGAAATCTTTTAACACAAAAGACATGGATGAGTTTGAATGAAAGGAGGGCTTTCCCAGCTTCAACCTCTTTGGAGTTCCCAGCCCTTCACCAGAAGGAAAAAAGGCAGAGCGAGGGCCCTTGCTCCTTGTCGCAGCTCCATGCTGGTCCATGGCACAAGGATGCTGTGATTTGGCTACTGGTCCACTAGAAAGTTCTGCCTACGGACATGCAGTGAAACAAGAGCCTAGGTCTGAAGCCATGGCATGGAGTCAGGCCCAGAAAAGCCTCCCTCAGACATGTTTCTTAAAAAAGGTGGGCAGGGTGTGCAAACCTATGGCCGAGGACAAACATGAAGAGGGCAGAATTAGGAAAGAAAATGCTGCCATTCCTGATGAAATAATAATAATAAAAGATTATCACTGTCATGGCTTTCACTTACCAACCACTTGTGCTTTAGCACCTAAGTCCTGTAACAGTCCCAAGATGGGGCAATTATCACCATGCCCACTTACAGGTGAGAAACTGAGCCTACAGAAGTGAAATGACCGGCCTGATAGCCTGCAGAAAGAAAAGTGGCAGAGACAGGATAAAACCCAGGCCAACTCCTAATTGTTCTGCCATCCTGCCAGCCAGACTTCCAGACCTCCCTGGACCTCCAGCCGGAAGGGACACTAAGTCACATATCGCATACGGTCTTCCTACAGCTGGAGCAACAAAGGCCCGGAGAGGGTCCCAGGGTGGTCTTGGCAGCACCAGCCTGTGCCTTCCTAGCTGGCTGAGCCTCCCTCCTGCCACTTTACCCACGGCTGCAGCATTTACCAGAAAACTCAGAGGAAGGACCCAAGTGAAAACAATCCAGGATAATTATGCTGTCAAAGCTGAGTGGACCAGTCTCCAGAGAGCCTACTGAACCTGTTTTTTCCTCATTTTCCCAAGATTAAATGATTATTTTAAAAGTACACTCCACTACATAGAAATCAACATTATTGCTCATAATTCTGTACATCTGGGACTATAGAATTGTCATTATCCCTGCCCCACATCTTCTGGAGATGCTATCCAAAGGCCAACATCCCCAGGACACACGTCTTATATCCTATTCTACAGTCTCCTTTTCTCCCCTGGAGGAGGACCAGGCACAGGACGAGGCCAACTCCACTGAGAAGGAAACCCTTCCACCTTTAAGCTGAAAAAAATTAAAAGTAAGTCTGGAATTTAAATGAGAACTCTTCTTAGTTAGGGCCTCTGAAAAAGTCACCCTGTGACCACAGCCCTATAAAAGTACCCAGAATTATGACCAAATGTTCACTCAGCAACATACATAGGTCTTAAAAACATGGTGCTCAGTAGAGAAAGCAAGAATGCGGATGGGATGTATAAGGCGGATGCGATTTACAACCGTCACAAACACATGCACACAAAAAACACTACACATTTTGCAAGAACATACACAAGTAAGCAGATATTGACTAAGTACTGGAGAATGGTGGCTCGAGGAGAGGAGGGTCATGGGAGCGTGGGGGTGGGGCTAAAGGGAAATGAAGGAAAGCAAGAGGAAGGGAGGAGGAGAGACAGAGAAGGAGAGGGAGAGAGAGAGAGGGGAGGTACAGGGAGGGAAGGCCAATGGGCAGGCTTGCAAAGATCAATACTGAGAATGTTCCCTGGGGGAACAGAGATGTGTGATTAATTCAACCCTGGGCAGCTGAGGCCCAGAACAGATGGGAAGATAACCTGAGTGACTCTACCAGGCCCCAAAGGGCTCCTTGCAACGCCTCAGCCCAGACTGTTTCCTGGAGGCGAACAAGGGGCAGTATTTAAGCCTATTTGGAGGCTTCTGTTTAGTCTGAGTTTGTCCGAGAGGGAGTTGGGGCCGAAACGAGCTCTGCTCAGGGCTCCATGAAGTGAATCTGAGACTGAAAGCTGGGGGCCCAGGGGACACAGGCCAGGTGGAGACCCCGAGAGCAAGCAGCCATCCTCAGCTATGCCAGGAGGAAGTTGGCCCCTGCGCAGGGATTTGGTTCAGGACCACAGAGCAGGCCTCGGGCCCAGATGTGGTGGGACCGCCATGCGAAGGAAAAACAAAGCACTCCAGAATGACATGTTGGCCAAGCAGACAAAACCATCTGCAAATGCCGGTGGTTTCAGGATGCTATTTTTAAGGCCCTGGAATAAGGGTCTGGTTGAAAAGAAGCAAGGGAGTTTGTTTCCCATACCATTGTATTTACCCTTTAGAGGAAAACATATATACACACACGCACACACAGTAATATATAATAGAGGTCCATACACGTCTGATGGGTATTTCCCACTGACTGCAGATATCTTGCCCTGGAAGTGCCATAACACCCAGACCCGGAATCTCAGCACAGCACCCCTCCAAGACTGCATTCGGATAACAGATCCCATCTCCCCAGCCTGAGACCTCAGCTCTCTCTCACACACCACGAGGATCCAGCCTCCAGATCATTCTGCCTCCAGGATGTCTCATACCTCACCCCTACCCCATCTCCCTCCACTGTTACAGGAATATGTCATTCTTTTTTTTATCCATCCATCAAGCACTTCATTAAGCATCTGTGGTGTACCAGGGATTGATTATGTGGGACAGTGGAGGTCCAGAGAGGAGTAAAGCACCACCCCCTGCCTTCAAGAAGCTCTCTGCCTAGAGGGAGACACAGAGCCCCAAACAAATAATGTAACATGAGACAGTGCAAGGGTTTTAAGCAGAGGAGAAGGGGCAAATAGTTCTGCCTTAGAGGGCGACAGGAGCTTTCCATAAGAGCTAACTATTCGAGCAGGGTCTCGAAGTACCCAGAGGATTTCGCCAGACAGAAGAGGGGACCAATCACATCTTTCTGAGACTATTCCAAGAGTCTGTTCTTGGATAGTCTTCCAACCTCCAGGACCCCACTGTTCTGCCAACCTCCAGGCCCTTATCTCTAAAATCCATCCTCCACAGGTATCCAGAGATAGCCCAGAACCCACAGCACTGCACACATTACTCACCTGCACAGAATCTTCAAGTGCTCATTACTGGCTAATGATTTACAGTCAAGCTCGTTAGCACAGCACTCAAGGTCATCCTGGCCCTGGCACACCTTCGTTCCAGCCCCATCTCCTCCTGACCCCAAGACTTCCCCTATGGGCCAGCGGCCTCAAGCCAATCACTCTTTCTCATACTCCGTGCCTTGTCTACAGGCTTGTTGCACATCTCTACTTGGCAAGACCTTGCTCAGCCTTCAGAGCCCCATCTAAATACTACTTCACTATGGAGACTTCTGGAACCCACCACAGAGCTTGGCTTATACATCTCTTGAAGCACTGATGAACTGCTAATCATCTGCTTTATGTGTTGCTATCAGAGGACACCTCTCTTCCTTTGCCCCACCCAACCCACCCCTCCAAGAAAGTAGGTCACTTTTTATTCCCCTTGATGTACTTTCAACGGCCTCATCTATGCCCTGGCACGTAATCACCAACAGAAGTTTGCTGAACTGGACCAAAGGAAAATGAATTGGGAATCAGGGTAGGGAAGAAGATTCTATTCCTCTAACCAAATTTTATTCCTTGTCTCTGCCTCACCCCAAAACTTCTCTTGCCCTTCCTCTTGAGGGCTGGGTTCCATGATCTCTTACCTGTTACGTCCTTCCCCTTTTCTAAATCATTAGCTGAGCCACTAGCAAAGTGGGGTCTGCCTCCCTCTGGAAAACACACACAATTCAAACAACTAGGTTCTGAGAGAATTGCTAAAAGCCTTCCTTCCAATAGAAGCCCTCTGGGTTCTGAAGGCCAGGAAGTGCTTCATTTTATGTCCAAACAGGAGTGGCTTTCACTGGAAAATCTTAAAGTGCAGTGCTTTACAGAAACACTTCGGATGCCAGCACTTGCTGGCTCCGTACCTCGTTCTGCATTGCCACGTGCAGGACTCTGCCCCTTCCCGGGCTGGCCAAATGACACCCACCAGGCACTTCTGATGATTAAAACTCTAAGGGAACTGTTACCTCTGAAGTGAGCTGAGCAGAATAAACAAACCCCTGCCTCGACATTCAGAGAGAGGCCCCCTGCCTTTCAACTTCATCAAAGCAAATTGTCAGACTGCATGTCTCACACAAGAAACTTCTAAAGAGTGCATTGCTTTTTTCCTTTGGTTTAAAGGGAGCACTTAAAAGGAGAGGGAAAGTATGTGAAGAGCTCCTGTCTGCCAAAATGGCCCAACAGGTAAATTGCTGGCTTCCGGAAGAAGACCAAATATCAACGGCACTCGAGGCTCATCCTTTCAAGTCTGGTCGCTGGTTTGGCATTATGCATTCCACTGCTGCTTTACCAAGCCCCGCAAACACATCAGTCCTTGAGGAGTAGAGAATTATAGAAAGAGGAAACAAAAGATCGCTTCAAAACTAGAACGGATGGACATGTTCTCTATCTGGATCCTGGAGAGTAGTTATAGGGATGTACATATATGCAAAAATGCGTGGAGCTAAACACTTAATGTGTGCACTTGGGGATCCCTGCCCTGGGTGGCTCAGCGGTTTAGTGCCTGCCTTTGGCCCAGGGCGTGATCCTGGAGTCCCGGGATCGAGTCCCACATCGGGCTCCCAGCATAGAGCCTGCTTCTCCCTCTGTCTCTGCCCCCGCCCCTCTATGTCTATCATGAATAAATAAATAAAATCTTGAAAAAAGAAAAAAAAAACAGGTGTGCACTTAAGTACATCACATTTATGCCTAAATAATAAATTGATAAAGTTTTTAAAGGATGGTCCCCGCCAGGCAGAGCTGTCTTCTGGAGACCTTGGTAGGTTCTCAATAGCCCTAAAAGAGCCTCCAAAGGCAAAAGAGGCCCCTCTGTACCCCGCCCACTGCCCCCCACCCCAAGGTGGGTCTAAAAATGCCCAGATTTCTTATAAGGATTTCTCCAGGACTGAAAGAAGACAAAAGAAGACAGCAACCAAAAAAAGAGAAGCCTGCTCTACTCACTGGGCCAGCCTCTCCTTCCTAAGGTCAGGTGGGAGGTAAGGAGCACCCACCCACTAACTCCCAGATGGAGCAAATAAAGCCCCCTGAGCCCCACGGGCACAGCATAGAGGCACAGCTGCACCTACCAAGTTGCAGGACACCCAGCTCACCATCAGCTTTGTTGGGCACTGGCAACTTGTTTTTCCTAGAAAAAAAGAAAATGTCAATGTACCAGAGGAAAATGATACTGAAACACAAACAGCAGAGAAGAACATGAGGAGCACTGGATGGGGGTTCAGGGGCTGGTTCTCTCTGGCCCTGGCCCTGCCATTCATGTGTGCCTCGCACCAGCCACTCCCCCTCTCTGGGTCGCAGGTTCCCTCACTGGATGGGACTAAACACCCTCCCAGGTGCCTCTCAAATATGTGTTCTCACGGACACACACACATACACACAGCAGCCAATACAGGACAACATACCTTGTAGTCTGACACTTGCCAAGAACCAAATGCAAGTGTATCTTGCTGATGTCACTGTGATAGTGCTAGAAAACACACACACGCGCGCACACACACAAAAATCAAGTGCTTGTAATTAATCATTGCACAGATATTTTTTCATCACATCTCTATTTTCTTTTTATTTTTTTTTCCTCCTAGCTTTCTTGTAAAGCCATCAGCAGTCATTTATGAGAAACCTCTAAAATGCACCAAAAACCTGTCCTGGGATTCTGATCCTTAAGTTCATGTATGTACATGTGGAGCTTTCTTAAAATGGCCCACCTGTATTTTAGCTCTCTTTAGATTTTTTTTTCCCTCTGGCATGCAACATTCTGGATTAAAGCAAATCTTTTTTTTTTAAGAATGTATTAAGAATAACAATATTACATCACTCTCTGAAAATCCATTTACTATGTTAAAAAATGACAGCCCTTTTGAACATGGCATTGAAATATATTTTCCTCCAACATCCTTGCAGGGTAAGATATGATTGAAGTAACAATCGTAACCTTGCCACGGTACGTTCTATTGAATTGGCTTCCTCCTGAAGATGTATGAAGGGGCGTGAGTAGAAGACCACAGAGGATGCATGGCACCAAATCCGTGAGCACACACTGCTCTGAACTCTGAGTTTCTTTCTCTGGCCTGGGGCTCTGGAACACAGAGCTCCTTTCCCCCACCCTCCCAGGCAGCCCTGATCCTCCCCCACTGGGTCAAGCCCATTTTTCCCCAATTCAAAACCACAAAATTCCTATGTCTCTACGCTACCAGGATTCAGCAAGCGTTCTCTTGGGGACTGGTAAAAGAACAAGCTGGAAAGAGAATCTGAGGCTTGGAGGGGCAGGAGGAGGAGGTGGAGGGGGAAGCAACACAGATGCTGTGTCACAGCCTCCCTTCCCCAGCCTCCAGCAATGAGAAACTGCACTTCACCAGAGGCTTCTGTAAGCATCTCTCTCCCACCGCCACTGGCTCTGCCACTAGAGGCTGAGGACCCGAGTTCCACCTCTTTCTGCCCCTTCTGTCACTATTCCAACCTGAGACTAAGGCAAGATGCCTCCCCTTCGCATCTCAGTAGCCCTTCCTGAAAAGTGAGGATCGAGGCACGGTGCTAGATGACCTCTAAAGTCTGCCCCGAAGCATCCAAGCAGGGAAAAGCAGGAGCAAAGACATCTCCGGAAGGCCCCAAAGAAAATGACATCTCTCTTGTACCTGGCTCTGCTCTCTCTGTCTGTCTCTCACCCAGATCACTGGTTCCCTGAACCCCCAGTGTGATTGATGCCCCACCTCACACCGACTCTCCACATCTCTCTCACACGGGTGTCAAGGGAATCTTTCTAAAAAACAAATCTGAATACGCCACAGCGTGGTTGAAATTCTTCAAAGGTTCCCCATCATCATCACCACCACCAACAATAATATTTATAAAAATGACAGCAATAATAACAGCAAATACTCTCTGACTCCTTTGGCTGTTCCAGGCACTGTGCTGATGCTCTGCAAGCAACAAAAGCCATCTGCTTCTCGGGACAGCCTTATGAAGAAGCTGTTGTGCTGAACCTCACAGACGTCCAGTAATTTTCCCAGTACAAGTAAGTGGCGGCACAGGAATTTGAACCCAGGCAATGATGCCAAAGACAAAGGCAGCAACCACCACATATACTGCTTCCTTGAAAAATAAAATCCAGGATGGGGCGCCTGGCTGGCTCAATCAGTGGCACCATGACTGTTGATCTCAGGGTTGTGAGTTCGAGGCCCATGTTGGGTGTAGAGGTCAAGTTACAATAAAACATTAAAAAATAAAATAAAATGAATCCAGGCCCCTTAGGGTGCCCTATGGGCTATCTATTATTTGGCCACCTACCACCCCAGCCCCCTCTCCCTCTGCACCCTCACACTCCATGTGCATTCCCTGCATGCTGAGCTTCTCAGCCTCTGCCTCTGTACCTTTTCATAAGCACTTCAATCAGGCTAGAACATCCTTTGGCAAACCCATGCTGATCCTCTACAGCCCAAGGGTATGCCACTTCCTTCTCAACTCCAAACACACATTCATTCATTTCCTCACTCTCTCATTCAGCAAATCACATGGCAGTTATCTGGCAGGCCTGTCCCTGCCCAAGGGAGACCCAGGCATGGAAACTGAACAGACACAAACTGCAATTTGACTTGGGCATAGTAGGTTGAATAGTGGTCCCCAAAGATATTTCTGAATGGTAACTTAGATGGCAGAAAGGACTTTGCAGATGGGACTAGGTTAAGGACCTTAGGATAAAAGAGGGTATCCTGGATTATCCAAGTGGGATCCATGAAATTACAAGCATGCTTATAATAGGGAAGCAGAAGGAGAGGACACAGAAGAGGAGAGGTGGTGTGATGCCCAAAGCAGAGGTTGGAGGGGTACACTCCGATGATGCGGGAAGGGCCACAAGTCCAGGATGTGGGTGGCCATGAGAAGCTCCAAAGAAGCAATGAAACAGATTCTCCCCTGGTGCCTCCAGAAAGAACGAGCCTTGCCAACATCTTCACTTTAACCCAACAGAACAGATTTCGGACTCTGATCCTTAGAACAGTGAGATAATGTATTTATGTTGTTTTAAGTCACTAAGCCTGTGGTAATCTGCGACAGCAGCCATGGGATACTAATACATACAGTAAGAGTAATCACAAGGAGGGGCGAAGGACCGCGGAGTCGCTTGGTCACCCCTGTACCCTGCATGCCCAGCACCAAGGCAATGTTCCACAAATAGGTGCCGAGTCCCAGAGTGACCTTCACTGAAGCCAGCTGACTCACACAAGGTCACACAGCTTAGAAGTGCCAGAGCCAGAACTCAAACCTAGGCCGCTGGCTCCAGGCAAAGCTTCAGAGCATGTGGGTGGCCGAGAGCCACGGCGAGAGGGTGGAGATGATGTTCCCATTGCATGGGGTACAGCTGGGCCTCTCCCCGGTCATGGGACTTCCACCCGGAGCGCCATCCATCAGCTGCAGAAACCCAGGTCAGATGCTTTGTACCCATTTCCCATAGACCTCATCACCAGAGGAGACTTCAGTTCTGCTCCCACTGAGGGGATATGCTCATTGTTCCTTTCATGTGTCCCTTTGTGGTGTAAGCATTACAAAGTTTAAAAGGTCAGTTTAAAAGCATATTCTTGCCTTTGAGTGAAAACTATTACGGAAAACAATGACAAAAAGATAAATCAAGGGTTCAAAACACTTTTTCAAAATGTGATGGTGCAGATAAGCCAGAGACATGTCAAAGTGTGCATCCAGTAAACCCACGGGAGCCAGGCTGTAGACACCCTGCTTGTCTGCCATGTCTGAGGTCACCACTTTCCCCCTGGGCTCCCTTTTGTGTCCCCAAAGGAGAAGCCAGGACTCAATCCTGGATAACTGAACCCTGGTCAGTGGGAAGAGCTACTTAGAAACCTGAGTTCTTGACGCTGTTCCATCAATCCCCACGTGCCCTTGGGCAAGTCATCTCCCCTCTGTGGGCCTCAGGTGCCTCATCTCTACCTTGGGGGAAGCCCAAGCATGCTCATCACCACAGGACAGGACCAGGTGCAGGGTCTCTGAGAGGCCTGAAGTGTCTGGGCCATGCTAGCTTTGAGGATGCTCTCCTGTTTATGCAGCCTCACACTCAGACAATTTCACTGACTCTTAACATAAAAAGAGATGGGAAGATGCTCCTTCCTCAATGTTTGGCACTAGATACTTGGCTACATTAGTTATAGAGTACAAAAGAAAGGTGTCCCATGAGAAGACATTGAGCACTCACTATATATTCCATTTGATGGCAACTCAGAACCCAGTGTGAATGGAGTCCAAACTGAACCCACTCATGTGGCACAAGAATCCAGACTATAACATAAAATTTTCCCAAGATGGTGATATCCTAGCATACCTAATTAAAGCAATGTAAAATTATCTGGAGGGGCACTTCTCCAAAGCAGGTCACACAAGAGTCCCCAGGAGAGAGATTTTTTTTTTTTAAGTACCACTGAAAATATGCTCAAAACAAAAAAACTAGTAAATATATGAGAAAATCATGCACCATCAGTGAAAACCAGGTGACACAGAAAAAAGGACTCCCATGGACTTGAGATAATAGAACAATCTAAGATACACTGTAATGGGGTACCTGCGTGGTTCAGTGGGTTCTGCGTCTGCCATCGGCTCAGGTCCTGATCCCAGGGTCCTACTCAGCAGGGAGTCTGCTTCTCCCTCTCCTTCTGCGCCTCCCCCTGCTTATGTTCTCTGTCTCTGTCTCTCTCGCATAAATAAATAAAATCTTTTTAAAAGCGTATGTGTTACAAATATACATACTATATGTGGGGAGGGGAGAAGAGAAGAAAAGAGAGAGAAAAAAAACAAGTATGACAAAGTCCTAGGCTCACTGAGTGTAGGTGAGGATGGTATAGGTGTTCACTCTTCTATTCTTCCAACTTTTCTATAAATTAGATCTTCTTTAACATTAGGGGAACTTGGGGTGAGCTTCAACAGGAGATGGGATACAATGAAGAGAAAATAAATTACTAGGGGCTATCAGATGACATGATCAGAATGCAGCCCAATATGAAGAGAGAAAATATGTGCAAGAGCAAAGAAGACATGTGGAGGTGAAAATATCAATTCCAATACCCATCTAAAAGGAGTTCCAGAAAAATATTATTTTTAATTTTCTTTATACCAGAAAAATAAAGAGAGTGT